GGGGTGGGGGGGGGGGGGGCCGAGCGAAAGAAGATGCGACAGCCACTATTATTACATAAACATTATTATGGCGTAAAGAAAGGTGTGTTTGGTAAAAAGGGTTAGAACAATTCGACATAATAAACACAGGGAGAGAGAGGGAGACCGTATTACCCGTTAAAATTCCAAGACATTAAAGCTTTTCATCGGCGCAATCCAAGTACCGTGCGACCCCCCTAAAACGTCCCGCCAGCATAATCTCGATAGAATTCGGCCGAGATACAACGCCACAGGCCGTGATAGATTCGAGATCCAACCTCAACGATGATGTTCGCGCCAAATCCCGGGAGACACATGGCAGCCGGGGCATGGAGTCGATCGACCGAGACCCTCCTCCCTCCAAACTCAGCCCTTTGCCCGTTCACCCATTCTCTTAATGCGCACATTACGGAGACGAAAGGGAACCCATGGTGCGATGCCTTGCCGTCGGCGCTAAACCAGCAGCCTCCGGTGCGAGGCCGGGCTCTCAAGGTCCTTGCAAGCTTCGCGGAAGCTTCACTTGGAAAGTTACCGGTCAACGAAGGCCGACTGCTGACCGGCGCCTCCCGCCCCGCGCTTCAGCCATGGAGGCAAACAACTTTTTTTCAATCTGCGCGTATATCCTCGCAACAAGATAATAATGTCGACTCGTCTCCTCGCGCGAATTACGTAAGGATTTCGCCTCCACGGGCCCTCCATGTGATCGAGGGCCGTCCCAGGGTACAAAGAGGCGTTGCACGTCGAGGCCGAACTCGAGGACGTAGTAGCTCCCTGGGCGATGGACACAGAGTAGGAGAGGATTAGGGAGGGACGTGAACTTCCCTATATTTCGGATGCTTTGAGGGAATTAATAAATGGATTTATTCCGAGCTCTCGTGTATTAAACTGGGAGAGAGAGAGAGAGAGAGAGAGAGAGAGAGAGAGAGAGAGAGAGAGTATGCGTGTAGAGGGGATGATTGGGGGATTGGGAGGAGTGGTCGGAGGCATAGAGAACGAAATTCGCGCGAATGGCATAAATCCGCGATTACGGAGAAAAAGTATCGTTGTCTAACGAGTCATGGTGGTGCTTTAAAGTACATTTGCTACACTTGGGATTACAAGTGTAATTCGGATATTGACAATTGCGAGCGCGGTCGTGCCAAGGGCCGCTGCGCCCTGGCTTTCCGAGCTGCCAATTTTCAGCAAGGCCAGTTACAACTTTTGCCCACAAAGTTTTATTCTCCAGTTTCGATCTCGTTTTTGCCGCTTAAACACGCTTTGGCTTATTTTTACAAGACTAAATTACCTTCAAATATTAAATGGTAATGGTCTTTTTATGCGCAGTAACCATTTGATTGATTCACGAGCTACGAGTATGGGCTTCGATATTATCGTAAACACAGTTTTATTTGGCATTTTTTGTATTGGTTTTTTCTCCCCTTTCCTCCCCCCCCCCACGCAACTTTTTCTTTGTTTCTTTTTTTTTCTTTTTTTTTCTCTTCTTTTTTTCTTTCTTTTTTTTTTCTTTCTTTTTTTTTTTGTATTTTCTTAACATACATAATCGGCAATTATGTTTAAAAGTGCTTTAAAATTTTTTTCGCCCTTTTTTTCTCCCTTCGTTTCGTCTTGTTTTACATAGAGAACGCTAGTTAAAACGTACGAAGCATAATTATTATAAAGCGCGCTAATTTATTGTAAATAGAGGCTTTGTTTCCAGCTACGTTTTTACGTCTCGGCGCGAATTTTCCTTTCGCTAACATAGTGCCGTAGCGACAAATACCCATCTCACTTTATATTCCATTATGTTGATTTACGCATCAACTTTCAGTTGAAATAGCACGTATTTTTCTCCCAAGTGTATCTCTCCGTTCGTCTCCGTTGTCACTTTTAATTCTAAAACGCAAATTGACTCTGCATTCCTAGTCACGCTATCGTACGTAAGTAAAATGTAATGTGTAGAAAATAAAAATATCGAATGGAGTGTATGCGAAGTGAATTGTCTCATTGATGATTCGATTTTCAAATCGAACAATCTACGAATGCTCGTTACGTGTTGGATCAAACGTTTGGAACAAATTACAGAATTTGCCATTACATCGCGATAATTGTAATATGTAGGCGATGATATTGCAAAGCCAAGTCGCCATATTGGGGAAAGTGATATAACTCTAAAAAGTTAAAAATACGAGACGATTTTACAAGACTAACCATAGGAAAGCCGGCGATTTTACTCAATTATCACTAATGGCAATCGCGACAATTGGAGCCATTTCACTCTGCAGGTATCCTGATTACGTCAATGTAACGGTACAATAACTCTGCCTATCATTCTCAAATGCTTTCTCTTTCGTAATGCTAACGTCACGTGGCTAGGATAGAGCAAGAAAATAAACGATGGCCTGGCGAATAGGGTGATAGGGTGATAATGGTGGTGTGTCGTGTGTGGATTCTGATGTGGAAGATGGGGGGGGGGGGGGGGACGGGGGGGGGGAACGGGGGAGGGGGGAGACG